CACCTTCCAACAAAGCTTGTTTTCCCTTGCCCTTCTTTGACTGAGTGACTGTTGGTCAGGAAGTGGGATGGCTAATGACTAGGTCAGATCATTGGAAGACTCTCTGAACATACAAGAGCATTTTGCCCACTGAGAGAGAGAGGCAAGTGCATGTGTTACATACAGTGTGATGTGTGCCAGAGCAGAGGTAAGGGTAATGTACTCTGGGGGCTCAGCAGTGAAGCCAACAAAATCTGAAAAAGTTGGAGGAGCTTTGAAGAATGAGTTAGTCTTGAAGGATGCTGGAGGCTCACTCAGACAAAGGAAAGCATATGCAAAGGCAGAAGCTAACTAGAAGATAAGAAAGAGAGGTAATATTTACCAAGCACCAGAGCATCTACCAGGCACAACACATCTAGGAAGGAAGTATAATTATCTCTTTTATTGTCCAGAAAGTTAAGAGCTGGGGACCTTATTCTAAAATTTATGCCAGATATTGTTGCTTTACTCACATTATTTCAGTGAATCTGAACAACAAAATTTATAAGGGAGGTACTACTAATATTACACACAAAGAAACCAAGTCTCAGAGAAATGAAGTAGTTGTTCAAACTCCCAAGTCCGGTAAATTGAGATGGGGCAGGCGCAGTGCACTTGATTCTGAAGCAGGTTCTAAGCAGGATATGGAATTCACTGATCCCTTATAGCAAACATACAGGAAGGTTGCAGACAGATCAAAGATGTCCTTATATGTCAGAGTGAAGAGAGGGGGCCTCATTCTGTTGGTGCAGTTTTAAGTAGAAAGTTATTTGATCAGATTTATATTTTAGGAAGATGTTCGGGCAGCAACATTCATGGTGGAATGAAGAGTAGAGATGGAGGCTGAGGGACCAGTAAAGGGCTTTGTAAAAACCTGAGTGAGAGATGGTAAGTCTAGAACTAAGACCGGGCAATGCTGCTGGTGGGAGGGGGGAAATGCAGAGGATTTTTAAGGAGAAAAATCCAAACAACACAGTTTTCATTTGGATATTGGAGGAGATAGAGGGAGAAGGAGGAATCAAAGTGATCTCCGAGGTCAGAGAACCAGTAACTGTGAAATGAAATATAGCATCTGCGACAATGACTTTCTTTTACATATAATTTTAATTTACTTTTAATTGTTTTTGCACAAGTAGTACCTATTCAGCATAGCAAAACTAGAAAGTGTAGATCAACAAAAATGAACCTGAAAGTCTCATAATTCTACCATGAATATATACCATGCATATATAACCTTAAAGATCATTTCCTTGAAGTCTTACATATGTATTTTTTAGCCAAAAGGATCATATAATACATATGGTGTTTGAAACATGCTTTATTACACTCAACTACATAATTTGGATGATTTTATGTGTCAAGAATTTTATTTTTATGGCTAATATTCCACTGGATGGATGAGTAATAAGAATTTAACAAACTCCCTCTTTTTTTTTTTTTAAGATTTTATTTATTTATTTGAGACAGAGAGAATGAGAGAGACAGAGAGCACATGAGACGGGGGAGGGTCAGAGGGAGAAGCAGGCTCCCTGCCGAGCAGGGAGCCCGATGCGGGACTCGATCCCGGGACTCCAGGATCACGACCTGAGCCGAAGGCAGTCGCTTAACCAACTGAGCCACCCAGGCGCCCGCTCTTTTTTTTTTTTTTTTTTAAAGATTTTATTTATTTATTTGAGAGAGAGAATGAGAGACAGAGAGCAGGAGAGGGAGGAGGGTCAGAGGGAGAAGAAGACTCCCCACCGAGCAGGGAGCCCGATGCGGGACTCGATCCCGGGACTCCAGGATCATGAACTGAGCCGAAGGCAGTCGCTTAACCAACTGAGCCACCCAGGCGCCCCAACAAACTCCGTATCTCTTGACGTTTGTGTATAGCCAATGCTGAGAGTGTAATGATAAAGAACAATTATACATACATATTCACTTACCTTTACTTGGGACAAATTCTTAGAAATGAAGTGCTTTATCAAAAGGAAAGCTCCTTTTGAGGCTTTTGATGTCTACCTTCAGGTTTCCTACAGAGGAGAGAACCTCTTTGCTCACATGCTTATTGGCAATTGGTAGTATTAACGTCCTTTAAAAATTTTGCCCAATTAAAAAGTAGCCATCACTTTGCATTTCTTTATCATGAGTGAGGTTAAATTGTTTATCTTGTGATTATTGGTTATTTTCATTTTTTCTGTAGGAAATTACTAGTTCTTATTCTTTGTCAACTTTTTTTATTGGAGTATTCATTTCTTTTTCATGTATTGGAAAAAGCTCTTTATGTATTTAATTTTTATTTCTCCTTAAGGTAGTAATATATAATTTTTTGAAATATTTAGTGTATCTTTGTGTGAGTGAGAGAGCCCAAGCAGGGGAAACAGCAGAGGGAGAGAGAGAAGCAGCCTCTCTGCTGAGCAGGGAGCCTGATGCGGGGCTCCATCCCAGGACCCTGGGATCATGACTTGAGCCGAAGGCAGACTCTTAACTGACTGAGCCACCCAGGTGCCCCTGGTTTGCTCATTCTTAAATACTGTCACAGATCTAGCCAGTTCCAGAATTTTCTATTAAATATCATGGGAGAATGTTTCCTTCTGTTTTTAAATATAATCAAGAATTTCAGAAGCATGGTTATTTTTTTTCTAATAATTACATTATATAATGAATCTTGTCTTTTATGTTTTTAGCCTATTATAGTAGTTAATACAAGGATCTTAGCATCTAAGAGACCTGGATGGTTTTTGAGACACAGCACATGTGGTGGTAAAGAACCTAGGCTCTGGATACAAATTATCTAGATTCAAAGTCCAGCTCTCCAGTTACTCATTGTAACTTTGGCAAGTTATTTAACCTCTTACTTACTGCCTTAGTTTTCTCCTCTATAGAATGAGATTAATAATATTAGCTACTTCATAGGTTTTTAAGGAGATTAAAAAGATAATATTTATAAATTGTGTAGAATAGTCCCTAGGACATAGTAAATGCCATATAAATATTTGCTTTAAAATTCTAGCTCTACTCTTCCTCTCAATTTTTTTGTAAGCCTTAAAAAATTTCTTAAAAAAAATAAACCAGACCAAAAAAATAAACATAAATAAAAAATAAATAAGCCGGGGCACCTGGGAGGCTCAGTCAGTTAAGCGTCTACCTTTGGCTCAGGTCATGGTCCCAGGGTCCTGGGATCGAGTCCCGCATCAGTTCCCTGCTCAGTGGGGAGTCTGCTTCTCCCTCCGACCCTCCCCCTCTCATGCTTTCTCTCTCTCTCTCTCTCTGTAATAAATAAATGAAATCTTTAAAAAATAAATAAATAAATAAGCCAGACCTTATCTTCCCAGAAACAGGCCTTAAACAAATTGACAACAGGGAGAGGAAAGGAGTGTGCTACCCCTTAAAAACATTTGACTTGCTAATTAAAAAATGTAAATGTAATTTTGAATTTTTTGTCTCAAAAATGTAGTAAACCGATGTTGAGTACTGAAAAACAATTCTAGCTCTGTTACCTACTGAGTAACTTCAGTCAAGTCTGCAAATCTCTCCATGCCTCAGTTTCTCATCTTTAGAATGGACATAATACTAATGAAACTAATGCATTTATTAATAACAATATTAATCATCATTAATATTACTTGCTAATACTGTGTGGACTAAATGAAACAATTTATATAAAATATCATCACGTAAGTACACATTACTGGGTTGCTACTGTTTTGAAATACTCCGGTGCATACTTGACAGTGCTACATCGAATTAGCTGAGCTTGCAAGTCCCTCTATTCTCCAATTTCCTTATTATTGAATTCTCAATTTTGAGTTATTTTACAGATGTATAACTCCAGAGAGGAAGTTATAGATTCAAAGCAACATTGTCAGTGCAGATGGAGGGTATGAAGCAAGGTCAATTAGATCCTCCTCTTAATCTTTTTGTGTGTGTGTTTCTTTTTTCTTCCAGGGTCCTGTTTCCCATCAGTTGGATTATTACGCTCAAACTCTTCACTTTCTCCTATCCTTAGTCAAGTGCTTTGAACAGAAACAATGGGCCCTGTGCTCTTTGCATATGTAGTTCTTCCCCTCTGCTGGGAGAGGGTGCGGGAATGCAGTGGGGGAGGGGGACTGCCCAGATTGGGGCAGGAGAATATGGAGTCAACAATATTTTTTTTTATGTGTCATGTATCACTGATTCCTTTAGTCCCTTAACATGCATTGGTATTGTGGTTTTTCCCCCACAAATAAGCCCAGATGTCTCATGCTGTGTTATGTTGTAATTGTAACTAGTTGTGGGACTTAGGAGGCTACATCACTCCTTGAATGGGTAAAGAAAATGTGATTATATATATATATATATATATATATATATATATATATATATATATATACACATACACACACACACACACACACACACACACACACACACACACCCCACAGTGGAATATTACTCAGCTATCAAAAAGAATATCTTGCCATTTGCACCAATGTGGATGGAACTAGAGTGTATTACACTAAGTGAAATAAGTCAGAGAAAGACAAATACCATATGATTTCATTCATATGTGGAATTTAAGAAACAAAACAGATGAACATAGGGGAAGGGAAAAAAAAGAGAGAGGGAAGCAAACCATAAGAGACTTTTAACTATAGAGAACAAACTGAGGGGTGCTGGAGGGAGGTGGGTGGGGATGGGCTGGATGGGTGATGAGCATTAAGGAGACACTTGTTGTGATGAGCACTGGGTGTTATATGTAAGTGATGAATCACTAAATTCTACCACTGAAACTAATATTGCACTATATGTTAACTAGAATTTTAAATAAAAATTTGAAGGAAAAAAACCCCAAAACTACATCATTCTTACAAAAAGAATCTTCGTTTCTGTCCTTGTTCGAATTATAATTATTATTTCTATGAAAAGATATTGTTTGGATTTTTTTCTGCCTACTTAGTCTCAAAAATGCTGTTAACTATCAATTCATGTATCATCAATTCATGTAAAATGGATTTCCCCAGCTTGCCCATCTGGGACGTACAAGCCAGAAGGTTCTCCAGGAGGAATCGGCACTTGCCTTCCGTGTCCTGATGAAAATCACACCTCTCCACCTGGAAGTACGTCCCCAGAAGACTGTGTCTGCAAGGAGGGATATCGGGCATCTGGCCAGACCTGTGAAGGTAAGTCTCCCACGTCTGGCAAATAAGAAATATAAAAGCTGATCTCTTTGAGAGGAATGATGCTGATGTTTCCATCCAATTCATTTTAAGTGATCTTTAATATTTCTTCCTCTAATCTTATTTGGGAGAAGTTCTCTGTTTTCATTAAGTAGCATTTCTTATCATTGCACACATCTATAATCTTGCTCCAGAGAAAGTGGTCTGAGACCCCAGGAGTGATAGAACCATGAAACCAGAAAGATTTAGTACTTGAAAAAGATCTCCTATGAACCTGAAAGCCACAAATCTAACAACAAATGAGCTGGTTTGGGCTCTGGTGATATTTAAATCCATTTAAAGAGAATTATTTTTATGAGTAAAGTATCTTGATAGTATTCATATCAAAAGTTAAAGTTATTGAATTAGCCTGTAACATGTGCAAGAAGCTGTGGGATCTGTAGCAGATGTACTGTGTTGGACTTATTCTTTGTTTCACGCCACCTTAATTAAGAAGGAGAATAAATAATGACATATGAAGATCAAGAACTAGAAAATCTCACATCCACATAGGTATCAAAATAAAACATTTTTAAAGCTTAAAAAGACTAAATAGTCTTTAAAAAATTTAATTGGAAGTGAATACATACCTAATAGGAGTGAGATGTAAGGGTTCTTCTTCCAAATATGCACTTAGAAATTGAAATGCAATAAACAGGAATGATGTGGGTGATTTAACTGTGTCTAAAATGTCCTCTTAAACAGACAAAGAAAAGGAGCCTGCTTCAAAGGCTAATTTTGCTTTTTTATTTTCTTTCTGTAAATGTTAGTTGTCCACTGCCCTGCCTTGAGGCCTCCTGAAAACGGTTACTTTATCCAGAACACTTGTAACAACCACTTCAATGCAGCCTGTGGGGTCCGATGTCACCCTGGATTTGACCTCGTGGGAAGCAGCATCCTCTTGTGTCTACCCAATGGTTTGTGGTCCGGTTCAGAGAGCTCCTGCAGAGGTATGCAAACTGCCAGTCCACATTGTTGATTGCCTTGCTTGATTTCCTTGATTTAAACTTTAATGGACCAGTGAAGTTCTTTGTTTCTTGGAATTTCATAGACCACAGACCACAGAAAGAGAAAAGATTATAGGACATCTGAAATCAGAACTACCAAGTTCAATTGACCACATCATCATAAACTATCCCCTTTATGTTTCTTTTATGAACTAGCAAAGAGCAAAGAAAGGGCCTTCCTGGGAAGGAAATGGACAGGTTACCCCAAACCTCAGATTTTAAGCAGCCAAGACAGGGTGCCAAGTAGAGTTTTGGAATGCTTGGAATGCGGGCTTTGATGACTAATGTCATTGAGGACTGGGAACCATACCGGGGTCCTGCAGCAGGAGCAGTGAGCTGACTTGTATGTCTCCAGCCATTGCTCAGAATAGACAGTGTTCTATAGAAAGTGGGAATTTGCTAAAGTGAGATACCAAAGAGCCTAATCAGGCCAATGGAAACAGGGATTTATGGTACCTCGAATAGAACATAAGGCTCCCACATTGAAAAAAGAGAAAAAACAAATAGAATGGTACCTTAGTCTACCTCCACTCTTGATCTCCAAGATCTCCTTTCCTACTTCTTACAACTATTGCACACACAACTTCCTAAGTTTTCTTTTTTTAAAAAAATAAGTCCAGTTTTTTTTTAAGATTTATTTATTTATTTGAGAGAGCATGCGTGCATGAGCTGGGGGCAGAGGAAAAGAATCTCAAGCAGACTCCTTGTTGAGCGCAGAGCCCGACGTAGGGTTGATCTCATGACTCTGAGATCATGACCTGAGCCGAAACCAAGAGTTGGACACCCAACTGACTGAGCCACCCAGGCTCCCCTTAGACAACTTCTCAAGGTTTCACAAGTAGGGTTGGAAGAGAGGGCTATCTAAGAAAAGAGGGGAACAAGCCAAAGGACTTGAGATTCCCTTCCCATCAAGCTTCTGAATACAGTATTTCCCCCCTACCCAGAGTTGCCAGATGAAACCCAGGACACCCAGTGAGATGCAAATTTTAGATAAAGAACAGTTTTTAGTGTAAGTCAGTCCCATACAAGATTTGGGACTGACTTATACTAAAAGTGAGATGTTGATTTTCTAAAACTCAGATTTACCTGGATCTCCTCATTTGTTTGTTTTTGCTAAAATCTGGCAACCTCATCCCCACCACATCCCGTAGGCATCCTTTGGCAGTACACCTTGGGATTTGATTGCTCCAGGACCCCCCATCACATAGTTCCCTGGAATACTATAAAGAGTTTTCTCTTGGTTCTTTGCACCCATAAGGGAAGGCGACCCACTCAGGCTCTGAGGTCATTTGTGAGCCCCAGGAGACCACCACTGCAGTTATCAGCTACCGTATTGAACCCATCCATTAATATGAATCTGCCTAACTCAGGTCCCAACCCATTCTCTTCTCTGTATCTACAAAGAAAAGAAGAAATCAGCAAAATTATACAAGGGGGACCTGAAAAAAAAGGGGAACAAATGGACTCACTAAGATTCTGAGGCAATCACAGTGCTAAATAAGGCCAGGATGCCAAGAAATGGAAGAAATATGAAAACAAAAGGATTTCTGAGGATAAAAAAAAGAAGGTTGGAGACACAATGACCAGACAGTGAAAAGACAAATTAATAAATTAGAAAACCAACTCAAGAAACTCTTCTGTAGGGGGTGCCTGGGTGGCTCAGTCGGTTGGGCGTCTGCCTTCAGCTCGGGTCATGATCCTGGGGTCCTGGGATCAAGTCCCGCGTCAGGCTCCCTGCTCTGTGGGGAGCCTGCTTCTCCCTCTCCTCCCCACTTGTGCTTTCTCACTATCTCTCTCTCTCTCAAATAAATAAAAAATCTAAAAAAAAAAAAAAAAGAAACTCTTCTGTAGGTAGAGAAGAATTTCAAAGAATAAAAAATACAAAAGAATAAAGTGAATGGGAATCATCCCAGGAAATAGACTCTTCTTATATTGGGAATCTAGAGAGAGAATGGAGTGAGGGAGAATATATCCCCAAGCTGAAATCTTGAAAATACACACAACTAACATCTTTTTCTTTTTTAATGATTTTATTTATTTATTCGAGACAGAGAGAATGAGAGAGACAGAGAGCACATGAGAGGGGGGAGGGTCAGAGGGAGAAGCAGGCTCCCCGCCGAGCAGGGAGCCCGATGCGGGACTCGATCCAGGGACTCCAGGATCATGACCTGAGCCGAAGGCAGTCGCTTAACCAACTGAGCCACCCAGGCGCCACAACTAACATCTTTGATATTCAACTTAACATCACTTAATGAGTGCTAGAAAAAAATGATTGAAAACAGATCCATATCTGGAAATAATCTTAGTGAAATTTCTGAATGCCCTGGAAAAATGGAAAATTGTCCCCATTTCACAGTTCGAAATAAGTAACACCACCTACAAAGGAAAGAGGATCAGACTTGAGCCTCTTATTAGCCATTGTAGATATGAGAAGATGAGAGTATGTTGCCAGGATTCTGAGAGAAAAGAATCAGACCCTAGATTTCCAAACTCAGACAAGCTACTGTTTATGTGGGAAGGCCAAGGAAAGACATTTTCAGTCCTGCAGTCTCAAATGGTAAAAAGCCACAGGCCGTTACTGAAAAAGTTAATTGTAGAAAGCCTCTCAGATGTATTCCTATAAAGTCAACAGTTATAAGCTCTGTGTCAGATCTCTACCTCTTCTTCCAAATACTTAATGGCAGAGGGTGGAAAGCATTGCATTTTAACCTTCCACTTACTGGCCTTCCAAAGAAGAGTGAGAGAAGCAAGTAGACAACCCCTTTAGGATAAGGTCTGACCCCTGCCTCTTTACCTTCCACCGTCCATACCCTGAGCCTCGGATCCTGCACTAAAGCCATAAGAAATGGCCGTGTCCTCTCAGGAAGCCATCCTTTGACAAGTTGTTCCTACAGCTTTGAGTGTCTGATAGGCCTGACTTTGCTGTTGGTCCCTATATATAAACCCTCTGCTGTTACCAAACTTCTCAGCCTGAATGGGATGACCTCTAACTTCTGTATGTGTGTCCACCAATCTGTTCTCCCCTGATTAGAACCTTTGTGCTCTGTGTGTCAGGGTCAGTGGGGGAAGTATGGTCACCGTGAGTGTCATTGGATCAGGGATTTATTTTAGGAATTCAGACCTTGCACAATTTTGGAAGAGCTGGCAAACTGAAGATCTAGAAGAGAAGTTGGAACATCAGAGGTGTTACTACCAATTCAGTCTGTAAGTTCAAGCCAAATGTGTTGGGAGGTCTAAGAGAAGCTTTTTGCTTGTGTGTAACCACACCCCATGGCTCCACAGCCAAGAACCTGAGAGTGAGTTTGGGGCCTTCTTAGGTCAATACAGTTAGCAGTTGGGACTCAGAATGGAGGCTAGCAAAGACAAGCTGGAACCCATGGGACATGTCTACATTTCCCATCACTGAGTCTGGCTACAGTGACCACTGCTTCCCTTACTGCTTTCTAAAATCCAGGGCAGGTTCATCTTTTGACCAAGCCTAACGTGGCTTACAGTAAGGGGATTCTGGCAGCCTATTTCCCAGCTTAACCAACATGTTATAATACAACCAACACACTTAACTTTTATTAATCAACTTGTGTATCACCGCTGCTAGACTGTTAGTTTTTTATGAGCACAGAATGTATCTTTTCCTCTCAATCCTTGATTATACCACTGGTGAATGATCAAGAACTTGAATTTGACAAATACACACATTGATACATGCACTGATAAATAGATATGTCGGTGATCTGCCTGTGTCACTTCCCATTATGCATGTGCATTTTTAAAAAGCATTCTCATTCTTATTTATGCAATTTCAGTTGATATTCTAATATAAATAAAATAATTTTAATCAAAGCAGAGATATACTACAGGATCATGGCTCTTCCTGAGATCCCTTCAGTTTCATCCCCAAAGCTCTGCCTAACTTACCAGCGTACAAAGTTGTCCCAAATGAAGATACTTAATCCCTTCCTCTGGCTCATCTTTAGTGAATTTAGTTACTTGAGATATTGTTCTTTGAAATATATACCATATTTCATTAATTCTAGAACACTTTTCCCCCCACATTTTAACATCCCTAAAAACTAAGATGCACCTTAAAATCAGTTGCATTAAGTCCTTTCATAGATATTATTGTTTCTTTATTAGTGGCACATAAAATAATGGTGTGCCTCATGATTGGGGCATCTGGGATTCAATGAAATATGGCAGCTGCTTGGGGATTCAATTCTGTCCCAGGGTGGGAAACAGAGAGAAAATAGTATTTTAGGATCTAATTTAAATCTAATTGTAGGAACAGAACCATTTTAGTTATGTTATCTTTTTCTTGAAAATCTTTATGAAATTGGGACAGAAATCAAAGATCAGTGTAAAATATAAAGGCTCTTACAACTTTCATGTTGCACTGTTAATGTCTTATAGTGTTAAATAATACTCAAAAGGCTTGAGTCTTATTCCTCCTTTGTATTCATCATAAAGCATTTATACTCTTTCTTAAAATTTTTTATCTGAATTATACACTTATTTCTAAACTCATAAGGATTTTTTTGTGGTTTCCTAATGATAACTCACTAAACCACAGCATCATAGTAAATTAAATTTTGTGATAGAATTTTTTTCTGATAAAATGGTCCAAACAACAATGAGAATCCTACATTTAACATCAGGTTTATTTTATTTTCAATATAGATGCTATCGCAATTTAGATATTGAAAGGAACTGTTTATCTGGGGAAAAAAATTTAATTAGTCTTTAAAATGAGAACCAGAGCAGTTCTCACATTGTCTACTTCTTAGTAGACTGTCTTCTTGAAAGAATAAATTGCTGTTTTCTAAAAAGACCAAATCAATATTTAAGGATTGCTTTAACATGGATGTACATCAAGAAACATTTATTGCAGAATTTTTCAGCTTGTTGAAATAAAAACTAATAAATAGGCATGTTTCTATTAAAAACATTCTTGGTTGAAAAGGAATATAAGATGTTTAAGGACTAAATAGGAATTCTTACATATGCTTTGTTTCCCAGAGGAGCAATGAAAGTTTATTAAAACCAACATTTGAGAAGCATTATAATTTGTATGTGTATGAAACACCAATTCTAATTTACTATCAGTACTCTTGAGAGATGTTGCAAATCCATTTCGTCTTGAGTTGGAAAGCTGGAGTGATTTTAGCAGTTTATTAAATCTAAAAGTAGTTGTTTAACATGGTTTTCCAGATTCTGTGTATTTTGATCATAGGAATTTTATCTGTTCACCTTTTAATTCCACCTGGCACTTGGCATTGTGCTACATATGGTAGACACACTCAATAGGAGTCAGAATGTGGAAGGCAAAATACTTCCGTGAACCTGATGCGCTCAACAATGATTCTACTTACACGATGGACACGTTCAATAAAAATCAAGATGTGGAAGGCAAAATATGTCTGCTCATCTGTCATCAGTAGTTGACTTTGGTCCAAGTCATCCCAGGGATTGAAAGGCTAAAGCTTATGGTTTATGCTTTAATTTGATTCTTGAATTTTCTCTCTAAGAGTGATCAGTCCTAAATATATATATTTACTGCACCCAATATTTATGCTCCGCTGGCTGAATATCATTTGAATGGGTTCCTTCACAATAGATCCTGCCAAACAGTGGCTTCAGTAGAATATGCACTGAATATTTTTCCCCAACTTCCTTTCCTCTTATTATAAAGTTAAGCTTTCATCATAAATATATGCTTGATATGAAAAATTGGCAAATACAGAAATCTTGAAGAAAAAAATATACCTTACCCAGAGTCCGCCCTAAATTCTTGAGTCCCAAATTATTTTGTTCAAAATATCTAGAGATTGCCAGGTTGTCTTCTGGCCTTTAGTGTTGCAGAAATGCTATTGTTGATAACAGAACTTTGTTCTTTTGCAGAGGTTATTTGTGTGTGTGTGTGTGTGTGTGCTATGCCTTATGCTTGTAGGATTATACCTGTGAGCAAATGAATATAGGTGACCATCCTTTGGCATATCCAGCAGGAATGCATTCTCTTTTCCTCTCCATATCTCTGTTTATGACAGGGATGTACATGCCATCTGACTGAAAGGGTAAATTTCCATGGGGCTCTGCAGCCTCCCCCGCCTGCTCTTTATTCCTCTTTCCCCTGTTCCTACTTTACCTTCCCCTCCCTATTCTTCAGCTTCCCCTCCCTTCTCTGCATTGTTCTTCCCACTCCTCCTTTCTCTTTTCTCACCTCCTCTATTCTTCTTCTCTTCTACCTACCTTCCCCTCACCTTCTCTTTCTTTTCTTCTCTTCTCTTATTCTCCCACTTCCTTTCTCCTTTATCCTTGCCCTCCTTCCCCTGATTGGAAATCCTGAACAGAGTGGGTTTAAACCAGAACTGGAGGAAAAGAGGTGTAGAAAGAATAACTCTTTAGAGATGATTTTCTCTACAGAACATACAATGGATTGGAGATCCCAGTAGGGTATAGAAATTGATGGAATTGAAGCCCTTGAAGGAGTGATCCAAGAAGATAGGAGGCTGTTTTCAGAGAGTGGGATGCTTAAGTTGATGATAGCAAGGTCTAGAACATAAGGCAATGAAAGGGAGGCTGAGGTAGGGTGAAGGATATGGTTATTGGAGAAGAAGAGGTGAAAAATATGACTCCTGGATACTGGAATGATCTTCTACACAGAATATATGAAATCACCGATGTGTGTGTGTGTGAGAGAGAGACAGACAGAGACACAGAGAGACAGAGAGAGACAGAGAGACAGAAAGAATAAAATCTTCAAAGAATAAGTAGCCCAGAGGTCAGCAGACAATTGGGAAAGAAACGATGTTGAATATTTAATATCACACTGGGAGCTGAAAGGTTTTAGAAAGAAAAGAGGAAGGGAGAGAGAAAAATCTGGGAAGGCACAAGGAGCAAAGAAGACAACTCTGTCACCCGCAGGCCTTGCTATAAGAGACAATGAGGTTTTGATTAGGATAAGAAAGTGAAAGAAAAGTTGACAAGTGAAGTTTAGGATAGGAGAGGATTTACTGAAGACTGATCATGTATTCCAGAGGTCAGATGCAAGAGTTTGTGAATTAGATTTGGAGTAGAACTACATGGGGATGACCCTGGTAGATGAGGGATAACCTTGGAGCCTTGGGCTTCCTAAGAGATTGTCAGAAACAGGAATATAGAATGTCATAAGATTAATTGAGATAGACCTTAAGACACATTACGGGATTTTGGTGGGCTAGACAGCAAGGAAGGTCTCACCAGGAGAGCTTAGAGCACAGATGCTGTTTGGGGACCTGCAGAGGCAGGAGCAGTCCGAGTGCCCTCTTGGAGGCTCTCTGATGTAGTACTGAGACTAATGAGTTAGAATCAGCAGTACTAGAAAAATGCATGTTTCTCTGGACACCCCGTGGTGGGTGCTTCTGCTGATGGGGTTGAGGCTGACCAAGGCACAGGGGCATTTCCAGGATCAAGGGTTTAGTAAATAGCCCCTGGCTGCTCTCTCAGGGTGGTTGTGAAGCTGATAGATAAAGGAATCATGTCACCATTGTATCAGCTCACTTCTCAGACCAGGGAAATGTGATCCTAGGTCACATGCTCTACGTCCGAACAGGGTTGGAGCACACACAGACCCCATGAGCTGATAGAGGGGAGCGATGTTTCCCTAGGAAATTAGCAAAGGAAAAGCGAATGGATGCCGGGCACAGGAAATTAAGAATTATGTACAGCTACTGGTATCAAAGACCCAAGTAACAATGTCCTAAACCAATTAAGAGTTTATTTTTCTCTCATCTAAAAGAAGAAGAGAAGCAGGTAATCCTAAACTGGTGTGATAGCTCCATTGTCATTAGAGACCCAGGCTTCTTTAATTTTTTTGCTCTACCATCTTAGGGCATGATAGTTATCCTAGAAGAGTATCCTGTACTTTTACTGTAATATGCTGGGGTACTATCCCTCATGTCCATATTTCAGGACAAAGAAGGAGGAGGAAAAGGCAAAAAGCACTCTCTCAATTGAAAGAGTCTCCATTAAAAAGCTTTTCCAGACAACTTCAGCTCACATCTCATTGTCTGTCATTGGTGCGATGGAGGTGGGCAGTTGTTACCTTCTAGCTGTGTGTATTCTATGCTGAATAAAACTGGGAAGAATGTTACTGGGTAGACAACTAGCCATCTTTGTCTAAAAGCAGCAGCAAAAACACACAAATAAAACAATCTTAGTGCATAAGGCAAGATTAGCATCATGAACTAGGATTTGCAATAAGTGTCTTGGAAGAAAGGGGTGAAAAAGCTAACAGGACCAGAGTTATGGTCAGAGAGTTGGATACTGAAATTTAAGACTGCAGAGGCTGGGACCATTAAAAGGCCCAGGATATGCCCATAGGCCCATGAGATCTGAGAATGGAGTTAATTGTGAACCTGAATCCCTGTCCTGGAAAAGATTCCTTCCTTTTGTTGGACCGTAGCTTGGAAAATCACAGCAAAGGCCCAGCTGAGGGTTGCAGAGACCTCCCATTGTCAGCCACCTCCAATCTACAGGTGTCATCATCCATCTAGGACTGGACTCCTTAGATTAGCTTAAGTTTCCCACCTATGGGCAGGTGACCGAGCACAGTCATTTTGCTTGGGCAGAGCATCTGATGAAACACCTGCTTTTAATCGTCCCACACAAGCTCAAAACATAATGGCGCATTATTTACTATTTGCCATTTTAAGAAAAGGTATGTTCTTGCTTGTGTAGGCATTATTAAACTTACAGTTTTTGTCTTTATTTAGTAAAATGTGACCTAGTTATTTTCATTTTATATAGTACGGACATGTCCTCATCTCCACCAGCCCAAACATGGCCGCATCAGCTGTTCCATGGGGGAAATGTCCTACAAGACAGTGTGTTTGGTTACCTGTGATGAAGGGTACACACTAGAAGGAAGTGCTAAGCTTACCTGTCAAGCAAACGCCCAGTGGGATGGCCTAGAACCCCAGTGTGTGGGTAAGTCGTTGATGGCATGGTGCCCTTGGTGATTTATTTCTCTTGCTCTCAGATTTCTCCTCTTTTCTGTGAAGACCTAGAACTAAAATTGAAAAACAAACTGCGGGTTCTAGAGGGGAAGGAGGTGGGAGGATGGGTTAGCCTGGTGATGGGTATTAAAGAGGGCACGTTCTGCACGGAGCACTGGGTGTTATGCACAAACAATGAATCATGGAACACTACATCTAAAACTAATGATGTAATGTATGGTGATTAACAAAACAATAAAAAATTTTAAAAAAAAGTTGATTTCTAATGAATATAATAACTATATCTCCATATATACAGATGCACAGAGACACAGGTACATAAATGAATACATTGTTTTATTCCTCTTTATTCTGTAAAAAGACTTCTATGCCAGAATCCCATTTTCCAAGTCACTGAAGTTTATAGCTCTAAATGGTGATTTTTTTTTTTAACTGGGGCCAATTTGGGTGGATTTTTAAAAAAGCAAATGCTGTGTGATCCCTTGCTTTGCTTAAATACCAGTTACTTTCACCTTGTTGATGAAAGGACAAGATTATGAAGTAACCCTTAGGATAGACCGTAACATTCTATTTTACTGGAAGATTTTTTGCCTTCTCCCTCATGAAGAGTTGTGACATCTCACTCCTGAAATTGGGTCCAGAATGAATAAATTCAGGAGCTTTTCCAGTTTGTTGCTCCTTATATGCTGTAGATACAAATAACAATGGTAATAATAATGATGATGAGAGGGTAACTGCCATTTAGTGAATCCTTATTAAGGATACCTAGGAGCATGGCAGGTGTATAATTAAATTGATGTAGAAGTGTTGGGGTTCAGAGCCGATGGCCAAGAAAGAATTCTTAAGATGTCTTCAATGCTACAAGGTGGTTTTATTAAAGCACAGGGACAGGACCCGTGGGCAGAAAGTGCTGCATTGGGGTTGTGACGGGTGACTGATTATATACTTTGAAGTTGGGAGGGGGTTAGGGACAGCACAAGTCTCCCAGGTATTTTGGAAACAAGGTTTCTAGGAACCTGAGAGGACTGGCTATTGTTAGGAAAGGTGATTTATTATTGTTGAGTAAAAACTCAGTCATGTGACCCTTCAGATGATTATTAGTGGGCCATATGCTTGGAGGATGATTGCTAACATATATCTTGGGGAGGGGGGGAGTAGAGATAAAGGAAGTTTCCAAAGGAATTTTTATATATTAAAGTAGACTCACAGAATCCTGGGGTTCAGGCTAAGAATTCCTTTTGCCCTTAGCAAAGTATCAACATCAAGGCAGCTGAGCTCCGAGAGGAATGTCACTCTGCCTGTTTCAAGGACTTGTCAGTAGGCAGTAAGGAAATTTAATTTTTTCTTTTGCCTTTGTTTCCCACAGCAAAATAACCAACTTCCAAAAAAAGGAAAAAGAAGAACTATATGTAGGGAATAAACTGAGATATGCCAGGACCCAAGACAGGGAAACTAGATATTATAAATATGTCTGTTCCTTCCAAATTGATTTACAGGTTTGTTCTAGTATAATCTGGTATTGGATCTGTGGTTGATAATAGAGGAAGGTATCACCAGGAAGGTGGTTGAGCTTCCAGGGTCTGGGGGGATTCATTTAACAGCCCAAGAATTGACCCTCACTGTGCAAGCTCAGAAAAACTGATATTCTCATACTGAGAAGAGATTAATCTCTCCTGGACAGGAGAATGAAATTTACTATGAAACAAAAATTCAGTTCTTTAGCAATAAGATACCTACTGTTACCAATACTGTAAGACTTAGGCCAGACAAGCATGGTATTTTCCTGTAGGGGAAGCTACAGGAACACCCAAATCAAGAACACACTTAGTTTGCATAAAACCAAAGCAAAGGGAGTTCACTTCTTCAGGTATTCCACAGAATTAAATGAAATGAAGGTGAAGGATGTATCACCATAAAAAAGGTGGCTTTTATAGTGGGACAGTGAATCTCAATAAACCTCTTTAGTTGGGATGTTGTCTCCTTAGGCTAGATTTTTTTTGTAAATACAAATGTTTACATCTGAGAATCATCTCTTTCCCTGGTTCCATGACTGTCCACCTTCTCTTCTGAGGGACCCAGTCTTTCATTAACAATAGTAATACCTCTAATAAGGTTTTCCTGTTCTCAATTCTTCTTAAAATTGTTGTGCACATTTCTGTAACGATTTAAAATATATGCAAATCTCGGTGGATTTGTGTAACTATCAGAGGAAATTGCGTCTCTATTTACAGTTTATTGGGGAACAACTTAATGTCACCTCCAAATTCTGACAACCACCATAATTACTGTGAAAGTTCTGATTTTAAAAAATTGATAGAAATGAATAGAATGTGTATTGAAGAATAGACAGGTACAAAAGAGAAAAATTTTGAACGCGAAGTAAAATGAGGGAGAACTTACTGTCACCATCATAAGACAGATTGTGAACCCACAGTAATTAAAATAGAACATGAATTGTACAAGGATGCACAGAACAATGGAGCTACACATGATGAATTTGGTGCAGAAACAAACATTTGTTTACAGAAGAATACAACACTTAATAAAGGAAATTCCAGAAATCAATGGGGGAAAAGTTTGTGTAAAAATTAGTTTTGATTCCACTACATACATACAAAAAAAAAAATCACTAAATTAAGTTAATTAATTAAATCAGGCAAATTAAGGAGTGAAATATAAGAAAAGATACGGATTTTTATGAAGGAGAACTTTTTTTTTTTTTTACATTTCTTTTTATTTATTTATTTATTTATTTATAGTTTTTTTTTATTCTTATGTTAATCCCCATACATTACATCATTAGTTTTAGATGAAGTGTTCCATGATTCATTGTTTGTGCACAACACCCAGTGCTCCATGCAGAATGTGCCCTCCTCAATACCCACCACCAGGCTAACCCATCCTCCCACCCCCCTCCCCTCTAGAACCCTGTTTGTTTTTCAGAGTCTATCCTCTCTCATGGTTCGTCTACCCCTCGATTTCCCCCGCTTCATTCTTCCCCTCCCGCTACCTTCTTCTTCTTCTTCTTTTTTTTTTTCTTAACATATATTGCATTATTTGTTTCAGAGGTACAGATCTGAGATTCAACAGTCTTGCACAATTCACAGCGCTTACCAGAGCACATACCCTCCCCAGTGTCCATCACCCAGTCACCCCATCCCTCCCACCCCACCCCCCACTCCAGCAACCCTCAGTTTGTTTCCTGAGATTAAGACTTCCTCATACCAGTGAGGTCATATGATACATGTCTTTCTCTGATTGACTTATTTCGCTCAGCATAACACCCTCCAGTTGCATCCATGTCATTGCAAGTGGCAAGATCTCATTCCTTTTGATGGCTGCATAATATTCCATTGTATATATACCACATCTTCTTTATCCATTCATCTGTCGATGGACATCTTGGCTCTTTCCACAGTTTGGCTATTGTGGACATTGCTGCTATAAACATCGGGGTGCACGTACCCCTTCGGATCCCTACTTTTGTATCTTTGGGGTAAATACCCAGTAGTTCTTTTTGCCCCTCTTTTGGAAGTAGGAAGTGATTCTAGAGCTTATCTGGAAGAATATGTACACAAAAATCATGAAAATAAGATTGAAAGCGAAGAGTGATAAAGAATAGTAAAGAGAAAGTAGCTCTACGGGGTTTTAAAATATATATTAAAACTACAAAAATGAAGAGTTTGCAAGTACTGCTGTATAGATCAAGATGACCGAATAGATCCCCAAGCTTATGAGTTTCATGTATTACTAAGGAAGCATTGCAGGTCAGCTGAGAAGAAAAGATTTATTCAATTTATAATATAGAAAAATTGGCTGGCTCCTTGGGAAAAACAAATGAAACAAAATGAAATTCTTGTGTCTTTAATTCACACCAGACACCGAAGATCAATCCTTTGTAGTTTTTAAAATATAAATTAAAAAAATGAAACCATTAAAAATTAGACGAGCATATAGTTAAAATCTGTGAATGTTAACCAATTGCAGAACTTAAGTATAAAAGAGGTAGAAATAAAATCAGTAGATTAGACTGTATAAAAATTAAATAATGTTCACCCAAAATAACATAAGCAAACAATAGAAAAGAGAATATTAACAGGGAACAGAATCTCCAATGATTATCACAGCCAGAATGATAATTTTCTTAATTTGTGAAGAACCATCCCTAAATAAGGGATATTGAGTCCCACACGGTCATTACATTTGAACCACAAATTTGGCTCTGATTTTCCTCTTCATTGCAGCACAACAGAAAGTCGGGGCAGCCATTTGGCACGTATTGCGCGAAAAGAAAGAAACAACCGATTTCTCAGGAAAAATTGCTTTTGCCGGCACAGGGGTTTAAAAGAAATTTCAGGGAGGAGGCATGGTGGTGACGTGTTTTGGAGCTCAGGGAGTCTGCCACATACCTACAGGGTGACCTCAAGAATGCTGACTGTGGGTGACTTCCCCATAGTTGTGCCTCAGCACTCTTGTTTGTAAGCGGGAATGAAGACAGTACCCCTCAGTGCATAGGATTAAGTCAGTCAATACACGGAAAGCACTTGGAATCATGCCTGGCATATTACATGCTGAGTAAATGTGAGCAACTATTACATGGGAAATATAGACTAAAGATTCTAGCAGTGGTGCCAGTAGAATCATTACAAAACAAATAAATGTGCACATGGGTGGGGACACACACACACACACACATACACACACGCACAGCCTACGTTAAGTCTGAGTCTTGATTTTCCATTCTATTTGCATTCTGCCTCCTTCATCTATTCCAAAGATAACATGAAGGGGCCAGGCCCCAAATTGACACAGTGATTTGAGGGAGGGAATGAAAACTCTTCCCATAATGTGCTCATTTAAAGATGGAACCAAAAGAATTCATAAAATGGAGACAGACTGCTGAATCTGATTGCTTAATCCATGAAAGAGGGACTCTTAATTTACTATTTTAGTTCATTTATTTTTAAAGATTTTATTTATTTGAGGGAGAGAGAGAATGTGAGAGAGAGAGCATGAGGATGGGGAGGGGCAAAAGGAGAGGGAGAAGCAGACTCCCCGCTGAGCAGGAAGCCTGACGTCGGACTCGATACCGGGACTCCTGGATCATGACCTGAGCCGAAGGCAGATGCTTAACCGACTGAGCCACCCAGGCGCCCTAATTTACTATTTTATACTTCAGAGCCATAAATGTTCTGCAAACTGAAGGAAGGTGCTCCAAGCAAGTGATAAAAGTCACAGTTGGCATTAACTAAAATATCAGTTAGAAGTTTTTCAAGGTATTGGGGCGCCTGGGTGGCTCAGTTGGTTAAGCGACTGCCTTCGGCTCGGGTCATGATCCCAGGGTCCTGGGATCAAGCCCCGCATCGGGCTCCCTACTTGACAGGGGGCCTGCTTCTCCCTCTCCCTCTGCCGCTCCCACTGCTTGTGCTCTCCTGCTCTCTCTCTGCCAAATACATAAATAAAATCTTAAAAAAAAGTGTTTCAAGGTATTGATACACTGACAAAATAACATGAGATAACAAGAGATATATAGTTTAGCATTATTTATAATGTATCATATGTTCAGTGTCATAAACAGGTATCATTTAGTGACTTATGTCAATTTCAAGGCAGCACAATTACATTTTTCTTGAAATATGTGGTAATGCAAATAACATTCTTTCATTTCCCTACAACAGAGCGCCATTGCTCCACCTTTCAGAAGCCCAGAGGTGTCATTGCCTCCCCGCCCAGCTGTGGCAAGCAGCCCGCCAGACCTGGGACGATTTGTCAACTCAGCTGCCACCGAGGATTCATTTTATCAGGCGTCAGAGAAGAAGTGAGATGCACCACCTCTGGAAAGTGGAGTGCCAAAGTTCAGACAGCTGTGTGTAAAGGTAGTTCCCCTACATTGGTCAGGTTGAAGACAAAATTCCTGAATAATGACATGTTGCTACAGTGTGGGGCTGTCCCCCTGCAGCTTTTGCTGCAAATCATGATAAAGTGGTAGGTGTTATCCTAATCTACTTTGTGAGGATTTCTGTTTCAAAATGATGGATTTACAAAGTCCAGTTATAATATGATCCAGTTATAATCCAATATAATATACAATTATATTATCCAGGCAATGACAGAAGAAATAAAATATAAGGATGATATTAAAGCTGGAAATCAGTTAAGTTTTCCATCAGGAGATGAAAATCTCTGAGAAATTTCTGGCCCATATAAAGCTTGTGGGACTGAGCGCCTGGGTGGCTCAGTTATTAAGCATCTGCCTTTGGCTCAGGTAATGATCCTGGAGTCTGGGGATTAAGCCCTGCATTGGGCTCCCTGCTCAGTGGGGAGTGCTTCTTCCTCTGCTCCTCCCCATCTCCCCCCAGCTCATGTTCTCTCCCCACTACCTCTCTCTTAAATAAATAAATAAATAAATAAATAAATAAATAAATAAATAAATAAATATCTTAAAAAAAATAAAGCCTGTGGAACTGAATGAATTTAAAAAGAATCAAGTTATCAGCACTTTGTTTTTGTTTTTTTAGAGGGTGGGGGACAGGCAGAGGGTGAGGGAGAGAGAGAGAATCCCAAGCAGGCTTCATGCTCAGTGTGGAGCCCAACACAGGGCTCTGTCCCATAACCCTGAGATCATGACCCAAGCCGAAACCAAGAGTCAGACACTTAACCAACAGAGCCACCCAGGTGCCCCAAGAATCAAGTTATCAGCCATTTGAAACCCGCATCCCATTACTTTCACAGGAGGACATTGCCATCTTACTTGCAACCAGAATAGACTTCTATGAAAAAGGGGGTATTGAGAACAAGAAAGAGTTCGGAAAAGTAAAAGCATCAGAAGTATCTCTAAGAGAAGGATAAATAAAATGATGTTGTTGAAGAACCAAATTGAGAGTTCCCTCAGAATGGAAAAATAATAAACAACGAACTTGAATATCCCAAGTGATCAAACCAAAAAGATGGGAGTTAAGAGATAGCAATGATAGGAAAAAGCCCCAATGTCCATTTAAGAAAGAGTTCCAGAAGGAGAGAGGGAAGGGGATGGAAGAGAAGAATTTTCTTATCAATAGAAGGATGTTTCTCTGAGCTAAACTTGAAATGTGAGATCAGTTATAGCCCCTGATTATAAAGCAGGCATATTTTCACGACTGGTGAACTTTCTGAGGTCCAGAGTTTAACAAGAAAATCTTAAATCAGTTTCCAGAGAGAAAAGAGAAATTGCACAAAAGAAGCAAGAACCAGACTTACATGATACTTCTCATTTACAACTATAAATGCCAGAAGGAAATATAGCAATGTCCAAAGAATACAGAAAGAAAATAGGAACTTTAATTCCCAATCCAGTTAAGCTGTTATTCAAGTGTGAATGGAAAATCAACTACTTTTTTAGATTTTCAGAGTCAATATGCTAATGTATATTATGGGGGAAAAGTGTCCAAGTATCAGCCCCTCCAAGAAAAAGAAAATATAAATTGTATAAAGTTTTCAAGAAACAAGAAGATATGAGACACAGATTTTATCAACTCAGATGTATTCAGCTGCAAGTTACAGAAGACCTAATTTAACATAACTTAAAATAAGGGTACTTTTATGTTATAGATAAGAACTTAGCTCTACAGTGACTGATGTGGATATGTTTAATGTTACCACCTCTAACTCAGTATCTGTATTGCAGAGTTTCATGCTGCAAAAAAATACCATTGGCTTCAATTTGGTGTTTTGACAGTGCGTTTTAGCACTGCTAATTAATTCCACTTGACAGCCTTGTTTTCAAGTGTAGTTCCTTCCAGCCACAGTCAACATTTATTTTTTGTTTCTTTATTTCATTAAAAAATATTTACCAAGCTTCTGGTGTATGCCAGGCACTATTTAACACAATGGGACAAGAGATATCCTGGCCTTCAACAAATGTGAATTCTGTGGGGGGGAGAAAATTCAATTTCAAAATGGTGTGTTGAGTTTTATGGTCAGGAAGGACGGAGGGCTGTGGGGGCCTGTGGAGGGAGCAGTTCCTGAGGACCTTGTGTCTAAGCTGAGAAAGGACAAGGAGGAGTTATCTAGGTAAAGAAGGGAGAGGGCATTGACTCAGGCACATAAAAGAACCTGGGCAAAGACCCAGGTGCAAGAAAGACCATGGAGTTTGCATGGAAATGAGAGCATCCAGCATGGAGAGTAAGTTCCGGTCAGGCGACCATAAGCGATGAAGCTAAGAGGTCAGCAGGTACCAGGTCAGGAAGGGCCTCATGAGCCATGCTGAAGGCAGTCGCGTATTCCAAATGAATCCGGTATTGGGATGTAAAAAATGAGTCACAGAGTATTCACGTATTTTTACCTCTTTCTTAAATGACTTAGAATTATGTATCAATTGACTCATTGATTTGTGCATTTTCTGAGTCAGATGTGGAGCCTCCTCAAATCAGCTGTCCTAAGGACATAGAGGCTAAGACTCTGGAACAGCAAGACTCCGCTAATATCACCTGGCAAATCCCAACAGCTAGAGACAACTCTGGGGAAAAGGTAAGGTTTGTGCGAATATTTGTATCCTTTTCAAATGGATTCTAAATGCACTGCAAGTATGCATGATATTGAAGATTTACTAATACACTAATGATAGTACTCTCTATATAAACTGTACTTATAAATATTAATGCCTCATTAGATAGAAGAATGATCAGCCTTGAGTTTTTAACTAGAAATCTCAGATAAAAATCTCTAAAATGCAAACTCTTATTCCATGGATTTGTTGTATTATGTATCCACTAAGATTACTTGACTAGGAATTCTTTGCCCCTTACTAGGCTCTGATGATCTTTCAAGGAAAAAAAGATGTGGAAACAATCTAAATTCCTGTTTATGAACATATCTTTTAAAATATGAGCCCTAAATGATCGCATATTACAAAGGAGAGATCAGTTTTTAAGTCAGCTTTCTCTAACACAGTATTTTGCTCAGAATACAATATTTCAACATTATATATACAGTAGCTTGAGATAATTATCCATCAGATGTTGTTAGAAAAGGAATTCATTTAGGATTTAACTCCCCTTGAATTTACACTGTTAGTATTCACATACATTAAGGTCCTTTTATGGTATATTGTTTTCACAACTCCATGTAAACTTGTATAAATCGTGCCAGCCAGGATTTATCAGGGTGGGGGGCCACAACGCACACACAAAAACTGTTCTGATCGTTGTGTTGAATATACTTAGGGTAGCTTTTTAAAAAATTAACTGTAGTGATCATGCTGTATATTACATTCCCAGAATTTATTTATTTTATAAATGGAAGTTTGTACTTTGTGACCCCCTTTACCCTATTTCATCCCCCTCCCCCACCCCCACCCTCACCTCTGACAACCATCACCTGTTCTCTGTATCTAGGAGTTTGTTTCTTTGTTTTCTTAGATTCCATATTAAATAGAGCTCATATGGTATTTTTCTTTAGGTAACTAAGGACAAGGTAACTTTTAAATCTGAATTTAGAAGTGCAAATGTGACTTCTAGGGCTAAAGGGACTGTAGGTGATGTACAAGTTGAATGATTAGTCCATCGTGTGTGGTTTCTACTTTCCATTAAAAGGCCCATGAAAACATGCATTGTTGTTACCTTCATCAGGATCATCAACAAGCCTCCACAGGCTCCCACAGTCCTCTGTCCTTCCTGACCATAAAACCCAATATGCCATTTTGAAATTGAATGTTCTCCCCCCAGCAGAATACAGGGACATATTTCAGAATCTAATGAGAGTTCACACTAAATGTAGCACCTGTGTGTTGAAATATTTTTTAAAAGTACAATTGAAAAGACAAATGTATTTGGCTACAAAAGTATTTTTAAATTTGTATTTTAGAAAATTCCTAAATTAAAAGACAAATAGCAGGGGCGCCTGGGTGGCTCAGTTGGTTAAGCGACTGCCTTCAGCTCAGGTCATGATCCTGGAGTCCCGGGATCGAGTCCCGCATCGGGCTCCCTGCTCGGCGGGGAGTCTGCTTCTCCCGCTGACCCTCCCCACTCTCATGTGCTCTCTCTCAAATAAATAAATAAATAAATAAATAAATAAATAAATAAATAAATAAAGATATTATGTTTAAAAAACAAGGAACAACATTTCATATGTATACCAACTGTATAAACTATGTAAATAGAATAATAATCTGGAAGGAAACACAACAAAAGGCTGTGCCTGATTTTTTTTTCCTACTTGCTATATGTATGAAATATTGTATCGTTTTTAATTTCACCTTTCCTAATAATATTTAAGTAAAAAAAAAAAGTACCATTGCTATTAACTTTAACTTTCAAAATATTCATTTATCTCTAAAAGGTATCAATCCATGTTCATCCAGCTTTCACCCCACCTTACCTTTTCCCGATTGGAGATGTTGCTATCACATATACAGCAGTTGACCTCTCCAGCAACCAAGCCAGCTGCACTTTCCATGTCAAGGTTATTGGTAAGTCGTAAAATTACTAGGGTGGGTTTGTGAAAATCATCCAGCCCTCCAAGGGCTTTGTTGCCCCCTTATCTTCAACAGCTCCCTCCCACTGATTCTCCCTATGGGCCTTGAAACCTGCTCAAGCTCCTCCCTCTCTGAAACCTACATACTCTTTATGTATCGCTGTCTCTCTTTGATTTCTTCCAATATGAGCCTTTTGAAAAGTCCCCAGGGGTTGCCATCTGTTTTGTCTCAAGGGCCATGTATTTTCAAAGTCACTCAATGTGTCTGGCTCTTGTCACCTTCACTCGTATGAACTACTGTCACCAGGGTTACCAGTTGTCTCTAGAGTTACTCCTACTGCACACTTTTTAGTTCTTATTTTACATAATCTTTCCTTAGATTTTAAAAAAAGTTTTTTTAAAGATTTTTCATTTATTCATCTGAGAGAAAGAGAGCGCATGTGAGTGAGAGCATGAGCAGGGCGAGGGTCAGAGGGAGAGGGAGAAGCAGACTCACCACCGAGCAGGAGCCCGATGTGGGGCTCGAACCCAGGACCCTGGGATCACGACCTGAGCCAAAGGCAGACGCGTAACCGACTGAGCCATCCAGGTGCCCTCGATTTTACATTATTAACCACAGTCTACTTATTGTAACTTTCTCCTTCTCTAGCTTATCTGACACCAGTCTTTCTTGATTCCCCAACCCTTTGTTCTCATTTCTTCTTGTTTATCTCTTTCCTACATGGCTTCTCTTCCTCAGACCGACTTTCAAATGTGGCTCATCCTCAGGGTTCTAGCCTAGTCCTCTTCTCTTTCTCATTCTGTAGTTTTCCCAATGATTTTGATAGAAATCTGACCACTTTCAGATTTCTATCTCAGTCTCTTTTCTGAAGTTCAAACCAATATATAGAACTGCCTACTGAGCTTTCCATGTAGATGTCTTACAGGCATTTCAAACTCACCCAAACCTAGTATATTTCTCAGCTCAGAAAATGGCACAGCTAATCACCTACCTACCAGGCAAAAATCTGGAAGTCATCCTTGACTCCTTTCCTTCCATCACCAACATCCAATCAGTTATCAAGTTCTGCTGGTTTCATCTACTTATTGTCTCTGAAATCTGTCCTAGTCTCTTCATCCTTACAACCACTGCTATAGATCAGTCCTTTTTTCGGGGGGCTGGGGGGCGCTGGTTTGCTGCTCCATCTCCCAATTCGTCTTTGTATTTTCAATCAATTCAGTAGATATTCAGTAGATATCAGATACCCACCACCAAGATGTAATACGTGGAGAAATAGGATATGTAGCAGTCTGTAGTGGTCAAGAGCACAGACTCTGAGCCCAATCTGAGTCCACTCTCCCACTTAAAGTCAGTGTGAACAGTAGCCTCTTTGTGCCTCAGATTCTTCATCCAAAAATATAATTAATTAACATATTACATCACAGGGTTATTGTGAGGTTTTTAATTAGTTAAAATTCATAAACTATTTGAACTGGTGCCTGACACATGTTAAGCTCTATATAAACATATTGACATTTTGCTATATTCGTCTCATATATTTTAATATGTTTGTTTAAAAATTGAACACATTAAATTCATTTTATTTCAAGAATTTTACATAACTTCTTGAAATAACTAATGTATATCAGACTGGCTCCTTACCTTAGAAATTACAGGTTTGGGTAAAAGTAGATAAAAAGCGATGCAAGTAAAAATCAGCCTAATTCATTTTATAGTGCTTAGGTTTTTTCATTGCTTGTTCAGTGTTGTTTTAAACATGAACTTTGCCAGTCATATGAAAATATGCTGGATTTGTTTTCTATAATACTGTGATTTTAGACATGGAACTGTGGTTCAAGCATTTGCCAAGTTTTAATTTTTCACAATGAAGAGTCAGCCTGGTGAAATGTAAAATGTGTACTCAAGGGTCTAGCTAGACACTGGATTTTCAAATTATGAAAGAGAGATGAAATGGGAAAGAAGAGGGAGCAGGAGAAGGTGAGAGAAAGGGGGAGAAAGAGAAGGAGGGGCAGAGAGAGACAGAGACAGAGAGAGATAGAGAAAATATTTGAAAGCCCACATTTTCTCGTTTCCTCAGATGACAGGGTGTGGGTATCTTACTGATAAGTGAGAGGAAGCAGGAATGCTTTTGCTCAGCGTTCCAGGGAATGCTGCCTCACTTGCTCTGAAATAGGCTTTCTCTCTCCTTTGGAGACCGCCAGTACCTCCCGTGCTTTTGACAGTAATTGACTGAGTCTTGGTGCTCTCTTGTGCCTGCAGTTCAGCTTTAAAATGTTTGTCCAGAATCAGGTAAGTTTAGAAAATCTTGGAAATACCTATTTGCAGTTTCTTTTGGGAAAATAGTAAATGCTGCCAGATTTGTCAGTTTAACTCTGAATTGACTTGATTCAGCACCCTTCAAGTGCACAGAACTCCAATGAGCATTTCTTCATGTTTTTCTTTATTCAGCAACTTTTTTTGAGCATGAGTTACGGACCAGGTGCTGTGCTCTGCAGTGAAAAGCTAACTGTGAGCAAGAGAGACTTCGTCACGCGTCAACAGAATTTATAGTCTCAAAAAGTAGTAAACCAAAGGCACTCCGCTAATGAAATGACAAGCATGAGGAAAAGAGAAAAGACTTAGCATAAAACAGAAATCTATATATCCTCACAGATAACAGCTCATTTAATTTCCGAGTATGTGTTTTCGTATATCATGTAGAGAGATACCTTGGTCTTAATGCATATGATTGCAATCTTCTAGCGTAATAACCTCAGATAAGTCCCTTAAATTTGCCTAGCGTGAGATTTGGTCATTTCACTCCTCTGCTTCTCTGGGAAGGTTCTCTTCACTTCCTGGTCGATCAGCTCAACTACTCTGGGTGGAATGCCCACCACATCCAGAATTGCCTTTTTAAAAAATCTTTTATTTTGTTTTAAAACTTTATTTATTTACTTGGGGGCGGGAGGAGAGATAGCGAGTGATCAGGGGGAGGGGCAGAGGGAGAAGGAGAGAGAATGTCAAGCAGACTCCATGCTGAGCGTGGAGCCGCACAGGGGCTCGATCCCACAACCCTGAGATCATGACCTGAGCCAAAACCAGGAGTTGGACACTTAACCGACTGAGCCACCCAGGTGCCCCCAGAATTGGCTTTTACATAGCTGTGCTCAGGGTGATTTTAGGAACCTAGTATTTCTTCTTTAACAGGGAGAGGGCAGCATAACAAGAATCAGCTCTTTCTTTTGTCTTGAGACCAGGATTACAACAAATCTCATTGTCAAGGGGGGCTCCAGGGCCAGCTTAACAAGGTCAAGGTTCTCTGCTAGCACAAGTAGACTTCAGTTCTCTTCTGCACACCCCCTTGTCATTTTTGAATATCAGTTGTAACTTCTTTCTCTGCTTTCCTGTTTTTTAGATGTAGAACCACCTAGCATAGACTGGTGCAGATCCCCACCTCCGATTCAAGTCTCAGAGAAGGAGTATCCTGCAACGTGGGATGAGCCTCAGTTCTCAGACAACTCAGGTGCAGACACAGAGACTTTGTGGTCAGCATGGTTAACACTGAATTGTATTTCATTTTTAAAAGCTTTTAAAAAGGATAAAAGAAATGAAAAGCAAATTGCATCTTGTCTAAGTAGAATGAATATTCATATAAGGTAATATGTTTTAATGCTAGGATAATTATATAATTTAATATTACTAATCTTACCTATCCATGGGGTTCCCTTCATTCAGTATCCAGTGCACATTTATTAAACGTATTCATTGAGTCTCTATGTTTACATTGTCCTGAAGGCATAAACTATGCATTTTAGTAATATCGTTAGTAGAGTTCGTATTCATACTCATTTCTTCAACATTTGCCCCTAAAATCAGAAAAGTTCATAGGAAAGCAGAAAAAAAAAATGAGCAAATACAGTTGAAGTTCATGTTAAAGGTCTCACTAAAACCCAGTAAGCAACAATTAAAAAGGCAAATTAAATAAATTTCTTAATTAAATTCCCACTATTGGTGAGTGAGGGGTAGGGATAATTGGGTGATGGGCAATGAGGAGGGCACTTGATGTAATGAGCACCAGGTATTATATACAACTGATGAATCACTGAATTCTACCCCTCAAACTAATAATATCGTATATATTAACTAAATTGAATTTAAGTAAAGAATTTTTAAAATTTTCCAATATGCCAATAGACTGATCTACTCAAGGAAAATCATTTATTTAGCAAGAATGCCTTATTCTGATGTGGTTTTTGAGTCTAATACTTCTATGTTACAGCATAAGTATTGCATCTTTTATTTTTTTACTGGTGACCAAATCAACATAAATTGAATGCCCAGCTGGTTTGTATAAAGAGAAAATGAAAATTCAAATCAAATACAGGAACTGATAAAGTGACTGCACACCAGTCACCCCAAAACTAGGTCCCTTCTTTCCTCTCTAGGGGCCGTATTGTTCATCACCAGGAGCCATTCACCAGGAGACCTTCTCCCTCACGGGGAGACTATAGTACGGTATACAGCCACTGATCCCTCGGGCAATAACAGAAGCTGTGACATCCACATTGTCATAAAAGGTATTCTCTTCATAAACCTCCGGAAATCTAGTTGACATTTGCCATATGTAATTACTATATTTTGTGAGAGAAAATGGACTGTGTGCAGTAGATTCGTAAAGTAAGTATACTGACAGATCTTTTTTACGTTTCTCATTGTAATTGCTTCACCTCATGATACATAGAAATATTTTCTTCAAGAGTAGTCTTTAATTAACATGTCATTAACATTTTCACTAAAAGTACAAAATGTTACTGTCATAATTTTGAAGAGCTGAGGAGACAGACTCTGAAAATATGCTTGCTACATAATGCTATCTAGTTTTCACTCTTATTATAGGAAGGCCACAAATAACAACCCCAAATCAGAAATAACTTAGCATTTATAAAATATATGCACAGCCTCTAATCATACAGAGGTACAGCTTTTCAGCTGTGCCCACCTAGGAACCAAGAGGCATATGTTGTCATGTTCCCGCACTAAGGATTTATGATGAAAGTTTTTCTAGGAATGCTGGTGGACAGGAGGAGTCCTTTTCAAAATTCAGCTTAGACTCATAGAATTTAATTTATATTAATTATATTGTTTATACCACTGTAAATAATTGTACTTTTTTTTATGCAGCTTCTCCCTGTGAAGTTCCATTTACACCTGTGAATGGGGATTTTATATGCACTCAAGATAGTGCTGGAGTTAACTGCACATTAAGTTGCTCGGAGGGCTATGATTTCACAGAAGGGTCTACTGAGAAGTATTACTGTGCTTATGAAGATGGAATCTGGAAGCCACCATACTCCACTGAATGGCCAGACTGTGCTAGTAAGTTTTAATTTCTTCCTGGACTCCTTTCATATGTGTGTGTGTGGGTTTGCGTGTGTGTACATTTCTGAGCATTTAAGAGGAAAATGCCTTACTATAGGGATTGGGTTTCATGAGTGAAAAATGGTGCCATGAGGGGCACCTGGCTGGCTCACTTAGTAGAGCATGCAACTCTTGATCTTGGGGTCATGAGTTTGAGCACCACACTGGGCATAGAGCTTACTTAAAAGATGGTTCATGAATTTGAAATGTTTGTGAATAAGAGAAATGTTCAGCCCTTGATTTAAAATGTTAGCCCATCAGAGTCTGGTTATTGATTGCTACAGGACAAGATTCCTTTTAAGGCAAACCCATCTTGGCCCTCTCCTTGTTTCTACCAGAAATAGACTTGTCAGCATGTTGTTCTTGATCCATAAACTTGAACTTACAGGCTCATAGTCTGCAGAGGAGCTTATATTTAAAGTAAGATCCATCATATGTGATGGGGAAAGATCAGTTACAATCTCTTTAGGTCTGATTTAGATTTAGAGCTATTCTATAATCTTAAATATATGTATTGTTATAAAAATAGCCAGTTTTTTGTCTGGTATAAATAAATATTCTTTGGAATGAATCTTTGATTCAGTACCATAGATGGAGCTTAAATGCCAATGTCTTGGAAAAAGAATAAAGCCCAATTACTTGAGCTATTTTTTTCCACAAATTTGGGTAGTAATTAAAAGTTCTACAGTATCAATCACCTCTGTCACAGATTTAGACAGTAGTATTTTAATGCTGATGCTATTAGGAGTCATTGTCTCAGAATATTATGGGACATCTTGCTGTGCCTAACCATGCAAGTTTCTGATCCAAGGAGGAGTTCTCTGTGGGAATTACACTTTCAAGGATTATGATTGTCCATCATATTTAGATAATTTTCAGTGTATATTGGTTAAAAATATAATAGAAACATATATGATACAAATTTATGTAAACATAAAAGATATCTTTGACCAAGGCAGGATTTTTCAAAAATTCCCAGAAATATAATTTAAAAATGTTTAAATCTCTTTTTCCCTTAAGTGTTTATTTTCTTAATGTGATTGCAAGCTAAAGAATAATATATCAAAGCAAACCTCATCACTGGATAACTGGGTACAGTGCTACTTGACTCATGGTTTATTACGATCAGTTAATGCCTAGAAATTTTTCTTAACTGTCATCTTTTGTTTTTATAGAAATCCCACAAATCATTTTAGAATCAAAGTCCTAAGCTACATTTATTCCAAAGACAATTAAATCTTTGTGTTGAAAACACCTAACCATCTGAAACTGTTTTCTCTAACATTTTCCAGTAAAACGTTTTGCAAATCATGGGTTCAAATCCTTTGAGATGCTGTACAAAGCAACTCGTTGTGATGATACAGATCTGTTAAAGAAGTTTTCTGAAGCATTTGAGACTACCCTGGGGAAAATGGTATGTCAGCAGTATTGTTTGTCGGATTTTAAAGGATGCCGTTGAGCTTTTCATAGCCCCTTAGGGTAACCTGCCACTGGAATTCCGTGTCCTGATGATTTCCCACCTCTCTGTAATCCAAACTTGCTCTTAATATTTAGAATTGCTCATAGGTTTTGGACTTCTGGAATGAATTATAAGTGAATCTTTATTAAAACATTTTGAGTTTTTTAAAACATTCTGAGTCAGAAAGCCAGAGAAGTGTGGGGTCCATGTGGTTTGAAAATGTCTGCTTTGTTATTTAAAGTATGACAAAAATGCCATTGTAGACTGTATTTATTTTATGATGAGATAATTGAACATTGAAAGGATTTTCTTTTTCATTCATTTTTGTTTAGGATTCTTTCACTGTTTGTAGGAAAGCAAAACAATGTATTTAACTTGTGTTGAGCATCTCAAAGGAAATGTGTTATATACGTATTTGTATCCCTAACAGAGTAGTCAGCTTAGATTTTGGATAGATGCTAGGGGTAGATTCAGTGGTAATAGATTTGATGTCCAGTGTGAGAGAAAGAGGGGAGCCAAGGAAGTAGGGTACGCAGGGACACGGATGCACAAGTGGGTACCCACGGTGGTAGAAGTGTGTCAAAGGATTTTTTCTGACTTCTATTTTCTCAGTGGAAAAAAGAGGCAGAGTGATCAGCTGAGAGAGTAAGGATGGGGAGGAGTTGTTGAGGTTTGGAAAGGGAGTTGATGGTGTAAAATAATTTTTAGGAAAGCACAAATGAATGTGCTAAAGAAAGGTGGTAGGATTGGCAGGAAGCAGGATTGTATTTTCTCTCAAGCTGTAATTAACCACACGAGTGCATGTGAAGAGAAAGCAGAGCAATTAGTTTAACTAGGGTTATGGGTTCTACAGACAAACGATGGAAGTGGGTGCACGTGAGGGAGTGATTCCTGGTGATGAGCTATAGACTCTAAGACGGATAAACAAGGAGGTGAAGACATCGGACTGAGAGACAGTGAAGAGGTGGTAGGGTCCATGGATTATAAATCTGATGAAGTCAAAGACTTCCGAGAGTAGGAGAGGGTGCAGTTATTGGTAATGACAAGGTCTGAGGTATGACCATGACAGCAAGGAACAAAGTAAGGCTGGAAGACTGGAGGAGAGGGGGAAAAGGAAGTGAGAAGCCAAGGTGAAGGAAGGATTAGCTAGGTGAATATAGAAATCACCAAGAATTATAACAGGGACAGTTACTGGATGTTCTTGGAATGAGGGGGTGATGCAGAATGGGGAAAGGTTGTAGGTGGCTGACACACAGAGGGGCCACCTTCTATACCATGAACTTCAGGACTGTGAGGCTCTCAGGAGGGATACGGGAGCATGATCTGGAAACAGCAGGGAAGAGTGAGGAAAATACTTCCTCCACCTCCACACCCACAGTTTAAGAAAACTGGGAAGTGGGGTGTCATTGAGAGCAAAGATGAAGGGACCATAAAGAGAGGTGAAAAAAATAATAGGAGATTCACTGATGACTGGGAGTTCCAGAGGACAGAGGAGGTTCTGAGGACTTAGAGATGGGTGGGAGATAGAGTCAGAGAAAAGGGATCTAAAGAGCCGTTAGGGGTGAAAGTTCAGAGACAAGAGATATGCTGGGGTCCTGGGCTTCTGGGGATCAGTGACATGCACAGAGAAAAAGGGACTGAAACTAATTCTGGTGGTCCACAAGCACTGGAGGCCTTAGGAGAGGGTGTGGATGAGGGGCGGGAGTCTGTCCAGGAGCATGCAGAGCTCTAGTCCTCTCCTCCCTCCAATAGAGAGAGATGTGAAGTCCAACAGAACAAAGGGCTTATCCAGAGCACATAGAGGTGCAATTTACATTTCATACTCTTCATTTTTTATTTGCAGGTCCCATCATTTTGTAGTGATGCTGAGGACATTGATTGCAGATTAGAGGACCTGACCAAAAAATATTGCCTCGAATACAATTATGACTATGAAAATGGCTTTGCAATTGGTAATTAAATTATGCAGTGTCAAGATTGCAAGATTGATCTGCAAAATAAAATAAGTCCAGAAGAGTGGGGCAAACTAGAAAAACTTTTTTTAAACCAAAACTCTTGAGATGATAAAAACTAAGAAAAATAAAGTCACATTATGATTGTGAAATTTTATTATTGATATATCTTAGAATAGTACCAAAGCAATTTTTATATGGCATTCAATTTAAATTATAATTAAGCCATTAATTTAAAATAGTTACACATGTAAAATATTCAGATTTCTCACCCAGAATATATTTAGATGCAATCTATTCGAGTCTGATATACCTTCTAATTGGATTTTCATGTTTTCTCCATATTATCTCTGAGCATTTTTATTAAGGTTATTTCTAACTGTGGTATGTGATTTGTTTGCTGGTGTAGCTGGCCATTTAGCTTACTGCCTTAATATTTCTGGAAGATTTCAGTAGTCACAGTTGGGTCTTTCATTAGTAAAATCATCCACCTTTCTAGTAATTATATTTGTCATTTTTATTGCATTGTTATAAAACTGTCCAACACTTCCAGAATAATATTTTTAAATATAATAGTGATGGGGGTGCCTGGGTGGTTCAGTCAGTTAAGCGTCTGACCCTTGATTTCGGCTCAGGTTATGATCTCAGGCTTGTGAGACTGAGCCCTGTGTTGGGGTCCACACTGGGCACGGAGCCTGCTTAAAAGTCTCTCTCCCTCTCCCTCTCCCCCCTTTCTCTTTCCCTCTCAAAAAAAAATAATAATAGCGATAACAAAATAGTGTCATGGTTAAGCACATGGACTCTAAGACCAACTTCTTATGTCCAAATTCTGGCTCTACCACCTATTAGCTGTGTGGTCTTAAGCAAGTTTGTACTCTGTGCCTCAGTTTCCTCACCTATAAAAATGGGTATATGTATATATATGAGAGTACTGAACTCATAGGGCCATTCTCAGGATTAAATGAATAAGTACAAGTACACCTAAAGTCCTTGGAAGGTTATCTGAGACAATATTAATTGACATTACAGCAGACATCCTTTTTGTTTCTGACACTAATCATATGCATAATATTTTTAGTGACTTAGCATTTAGAGTGATGTTGACATTTGCTTTATACTTTTTAAATTTTAAAAAATATTTCTGCATATGTTTATTGCAAAAATTGGAAAAATGCTAAAACCCAAAGAAGGAAATCAAGATAACCCACACAATCCCATAAATAATTGTTAATATACTAATATATGTATTACTATATATACATTAACATATATACATATAACTGTACATACGTATGTATATACGCCCATACTACTTTGTAAACTTGAATTTTTAGTTAACATTATATTGAGGACATTTTTCTGTCACTAAATATTATACTTCAATTTCAGTGGCCACATATTAATCAGTCAATTTGCCATAACTTATGTAAACAATTTCCTACTGGTAGACTTTTTTTCCATTTTTAACTGTTATGTAAAACTTCTCAGTGAAAATTTTGGACGTTAAAGTGTTAGAAAAACGTGAAGTGGCGTTGGCAGTGGCTTGTCTAGAATAATAATGACTCTTCTGTCACACATGACACAGGCTTCCCCTCCCAGATTATTGAGGCAGATTGTTGAGGGTATAAGGATGCACCTAGAGGGAGTCAGGTGTCATCATAAGGCTTTGAGATGGGTGATATTTGTCATCTAATAAGGATCAAAAGGGCAGTTTCTTAGAATCATATGTGGACACGTGGTACAATTGATCTTAAGAGATAAGTCTTCCTCCTTGAATATCTTTATAGTAGGGAGTCACAAAATTAGCGTAATATTTCAAACAACACCTTGGCAAGTCATAACGTATTAAAAACAAAGGGCCAATAAATATATTAAAATGGTTTGACTTCATAATAGTCATGTAATTCAAGTTAAAACTAAAATGAGATGCCCTTTTTGACCTGTCAGATTAACAAATTCAAATAAGAATCATAATACCCCAAATTGGCAAGAGTATAAGAAAAAAAATCATACTCATAGATTGTATGCAGGGGAGAAATTGAAGAGCAATTGACAATATGTATCAAAAAGATGAAAAAAACTCAAACCCAGAAATCTAATTCTAAGAATATTTCTCAAGATAAAAATCATGCCAGTATGCAGAGATATACTACATTTTATAAATTCTAAGGTGTACATTTTTATTTGGACATCTCTGAAATTGGAATATATCTTCTCATTGATGGTGCCTTACATTTTATGAAATCCTCTATGCACAAGGATGTTCTAGAATTTTGAAATAACCTAAAAGTTTGGAAAGAGAAACCTGGTTAGTTTGTGGTATAGCCATAGAAGAGAATATTATGAAACCATTTGACACAGAAATGCCATAATATATCATTGAGAAAATTAGAGAAAGATTACTAAATAATATACACATAGTATAATCGTTTGTTAAAGGTATGGTATGTTTATTTCTATTCCAGTGATTCATGTATCTATGTATGCATTAACATATATGTGTGTGTTTATATATTCATAGAAGAAAATCTTGCCTAAAATGTTCTAGGCATTATTTCTATATGGTGGAATTGTAGGTAATCAAAAAGTTTTTTGTCTTGCCTCATCTGTTTTTTTTTAATTTTTTATTGTTATGTTAATCACCATAGATTACATCATTAGTTTTAGATGTAGTGTTCCATGACCATGTTCCATAACCTCCTCCCCTCTAGAACCCTCAGTTTGTTTTTAAGAGTCCATTGTCTCTCGTGGTTTGTCTCCCCGTCCGATTTCCCCCCTTCATTCTTCCCCTCTGCTATCTTCTTCTTCTTTTTTTTTTCTTAACATATATTGCATTATTTGTTTTAGAGGTACAGATCTGAGTTTCAACAGTCTTGCACAATTCACAGCACTTACCAGAGCACATACCCTCCCCAGTGTCTATCACCCAGTCACCCCATCCCTCCCACCCCACCCCCCACTCCAGCAACCCTGTTTGTTTCCTGAGATTAAGAATTCCTCATATCAGTGAGGTCATATGATACATGTCTTTCTCTGTTTGACTTATTTCACTCAGCATAATACCCTCCAGTTCCAAACACGTCGTTGCAAATGACAAGATCTCATTCCTTTTGATGGCTGCATAATATTTCACTGTATGTATATATACCACATCTTCTTTATCCATTCATCTGTCGATGGACATCTTGGCTCTTTCCACAGTTTGGCTATTGTGGACATTGCTGCTATAAACATCGGGGTGCACGTACCCTTTCGGATCCCTACTTTTGTATCTTTGGGGCAAATACCCAGTAGTGCAATTGCTAGGTCGTAGGGTAGCTCTATTTTCAACTTTTTGAGGAACCTCCATACTGTTTTCCAGAGTGGCTGCACCAGCTTGCATTCCCACCAGCAGTGTAGGAGGGTTCCCCTTTCTCCGCATCCCCGCCAACATCTGGCATTTCCTGACTTGTTCATTTTAGCCATTTGGACTGGTGTGAGGTGGTATCTCATTGAGGTTTTGATTTGGATTTCCCTGATGCTGAGCGATGTTGAGCACTTTTTCATGTGTCTGTTGGCCATTTGGATGTCTTCTTTGGAAAAATGTCTGTTCATGTCTTCTGCCCATTTCTTGATTGGATTCTTTGTTCTTTGGGTGTTGAGTTTGGTAAGTTCTTTATAGATTTTGGATACTAGCCCCTTATCTGACATGTCATTTGCAAATATCTTCTCCCATTCTGTCGGTTGTCTTTTGGTTTTGTTGACTGTTTCCTTCGCTTTGCAAAGCTTTTTATCTTGATGAAGTCCCAATAGTTCATTTTTTGCCCTTGCTTCCCTTGCCTTTGGCGATGTTTCTAGGAAGAAGTTGCTGCGGCTGAGGTCAAAGAGGTTGCTGCCTGTGTTCTCCTTTAGGATTTTGATGGACTCCTGTCTCACATTAAGGCCTTTCAACCATTTGGAGTCTATTTTTGTTTGTGGTGTAAGGAAATGGTCCAGTTTCATTCTTCTGCATGTGGCTGTCCAATTTTTCCAACACCATTTGTTGAAGAGACTGTCTTTTTTCCATTGGACATTCTTTCCTGCTTTGTCGAAGATTAGTTGACCATAGAGTTGAGGGTCCATTTCTGGGCTCTCTATTCTGTTCCATTGATCTATGTGTCTGTTTTTGTGCCAGTACCATACTGTCTTAACGATGACAGCTTTGTAATAGAGCTGGAAGTCCAGAATTGTGATGCCGCCAACTTTGCTTTTCTTTTTCAACATTCCTCTGGCTATTCGAGGTCTTTTCTGGTTCCATACAAATTTTAGGATTATTTGTTCCATTTCTTTGAAAAAAGTGGATGGTATTTTGATGGGGATTGCATTGAATGTGTAGATTGCTCTAGGTAGCATTAACATCTTCACAATACTTGTTCTTCCAATCCATGAACATGGAATGTTTTTCCATTTCTTTGTGTCTTCCTCAGTTTTTTTCATGAGTATTTTATAGTTTTCTGAGTACAGATCCTTTGCCTCTTTGGTTAGATTTATTCCTGGGTATCTTATGGTTTTGGGTGCAGTTGTAAATGGGATCGACTCCTTAATTTCTCTTTCTTCTGTCTTATTGTTGGTGTATAGGAATGCCACTGATTTCTGTGCACTGATTTTATATCTTGCCACTTTACTGAATTCCTATATGAGTTCTAGCAGTTTTGGGGTGGAGTCTTTTGGGTTTTCCACATAAAGTATCATATCATCTGCAAAGAGGGAGAGTTTGACTTCTTCTTTGCCGATTTGGATGCCTTTGATTTCTTTTTGTTGTCTGATTGCTGTAGCTAGGACTTCTAATACTATGTTGAATAGCAGCGGTGATAGTGGACATCCCTGCCGCGTTCCTGATCTTAGGGGGAAAGCTCTCAGTTTTTCCCCATTGAGAATGATATTCGCTGTAGGTTTTTCATAGATGGCTTTTATGATATTGAGGTATGTACCCTCTATGCCTATACTCTGAAGAGTTTTGATCAAGAAAGGATGCTGTACTT